CACCTGTAACAGCTATTACACAATTAGTATATTTAGCATAAATCAGTCTATTAGTACAAATCTCATTTGGTAGGCCAAAATAGTGTTAGCAATAAGCAGACAGCTATAACAACATCTATTTAATTTTTACTATCTGCCAGGTATTGCATGCATTTCTTCAAGTTGTCTTCAAGGTACCATATAAAGGAATGGTTAAGAGCACAGGTTCTGGAGACAAACTGTCTAGGTCTCTTACCGATGTGACCTTTAAGAAGTAGCTTAATTCATCTGTGGCTTGTCTGTAAACTGGAATAACAGTAATAACTATCTTCTAAGTTGGTAGTGAGGACTAAATAATGTATGTAAAGTACTCAGGCTAGTGTCCAGGACATAGTGATATAATTTTAATGATTATTATTATTACTTGTTGTGGAGTTTTGTACTCTGAGTTTCCAGTGTTTGGTTTCCATTCATGAAAATAAATATTCTTATATCCATTAAAAATCTGAGGTTTCTTCTGGCCTGGGGCAAAGAATGGGGATGAGAAGAATACTACCCAGAACATTTTGCAAAGGGTGAAATTTTAACATTCAGACAGCAGCTGGTCTGTAGGTGCTCTAATTATTTTGGCCAAAGGGTCCAAGATTATTGATCTCTGTGACAGAACCCTAATGAATAGGTTTCCATAGTGATAGTCTCAGCAATAGAGCCCATGAAATCGACAATGTCTGCAGAGATTTCTATTGAGGTAATTCACTTTTAGTGAAAAATACTGTGATTCCCTAGAGATATACGAGAAAATCCTTAATGGGACACCGCTTGATAATGTTTGATTAAAAAGAGAGGGGGAAAGCACTCCTCAAAGTTAAGGAAAATCAAACCACGGAACCTTGGCGTACAAATGAACTACAACTTTTCAAAATTTAACAGAAGAGTTTCTTTTACAAGAAATACAATGCTGTGCAGATTTGGTAGAATGTCACATTATTAACATTTATATCTTCTACAAATAATGAGAAAATTTAGTAGAGAAAAAGCTCTTCAGAAAAAAGGCTATTTAAGTCTAGTGAATAATTCCCAAATAACATATTATATATAATTACCCTGATGCATCCACTCTTAATTTCTTGAAAGCAGTTTGTAGACTCTCCTCCTCTCCATCCTTGGCTTCGGATTTCATTGTGAAACTTTTTACACTACTATGATGTTCCCGCTTATACTAAAAAAGAAAATCAAAATAAAATGAGCACAGTGACAACAGGTGGGTTCAGAAGTATATATTTTGTTAAAATCTTTATTCCTGATACTATTACTTTTTGTTAGAGGAGAGGGGAACAAATTTCTATTTCTAAAAAGAAGTTTCAGTGTAGATGATTTCTTGAATTTATTAAGATAGAATTTAAAATGCCCAAATACTTGATGCCAATATCCTATTACACAGTTTTGGAAACAATATCACCTAAAATCTGTTTAAATATACTTTTTTAAAGGGAGGAAAATCTCTCCATTTGTAGAGGTCTAGAAACCTATAGACAAAATAACCTTTGCATCAGAAATAAAAGGGAAAAGCCAAACGAATAGCATTCTGATTCTTTAAAATGCTACTATTTATCTAGTCTAACCCTAAAAATTCTAGTTAAGTATAACTTCATGATACATGGCAGCATTTCTCTAAAGCAATCCTCACCTGAATATCATTATTCATATCAATATTCATATCCAGATATCAAACTGGATATGAATATCAAAGCAGAATTACAAACATGTTTACTGATTATTCCACAGTTAACCTATAAGGTTGATACCTTCATTTTTTTAAATGGCTTTGAATATTTTATTATAAAAGATAAAAAATGAATTATACTTACAATTCAAAAAAATATAAAGGACTTAGCCCCCCAAAAAGAGGTAGGAAGAAAAAAGAGAAATTACTGTTCTATAGATGAACATTTAAGTGATGTTCAATTTTTTAAAGCCAAAAAATAAAAAACAAATAATCAAGTTTTTTCTTTCCACCCTGATTATTACATTTAAACAAAGAAAAGGGAAAGGGGAACCAACCAAAGCAACAAGAAACACCACTGAGGTATGTTAATAAATTCTTTGAATCTAGTTTCCCAATTATTTTTTCACTTGGTAAAAGATTCTAGTTATTTTTTCAACTAGTATCTATAATGTCACAGAGAATCTGAAAAACATTAAAACTAACAAACAAAAAACAGAAGATGGGGAATTTTTGAAGCGAAGGAGTCACTCTACCTCTTCTTTCTTTATTCCTAACCTGCTTGCTACCCCTTACCCTCCCCCCACCCCCCGGGGGACTCCCAGAGAGCAGTGCCTCTCTGTAGAGCCCTGGATCCTCTGAGTCCCTCTCTGCTCATTTCTCAGGGTGGGCTTGATGCATTGTGAGACCTCCAATATTCCAAAGGTCAGAGTGTGTTGTAATATGTTAGATATAATGTGACCATGTAGTACAAATGAAGCAAGGAATCAAGACGACTCGTTTCCTTTTTTATTTACGTAGAGGAAGATATTTTAGTCAGCTCTCTCCAGGGAATGAAACATTGAACACTGAAAACAGTCTCAAAAGAACTCAGCTTTCACCTCAACTTCTCAAGACAAAAAATTTAAATACATTCCCACATATATTTTGCTGGTTTATTTAACCAGTGTATGAACATTATCAATTCTATACTTCACTGGTTCCTAATCTGTAGAGGATCCTCCCCCCCCCCCCCCCCCCCCACACACAATAATGTCCTACAAACCTAGGAAGAGGGGTGAGCAAAGATCACATTCTAATAATTTTAAAGCCCACCGCATCTGAAAGAGTGCTATCGTAGGTTGTAAACAAATTCATCCTGCGGGCAGAACTACAGTAAAGTTTGACTTACAGTTTTCCTCAATTACTTTATAACCAGTCAGTCAAATGCTCACTCGGAGGAATGGCCTTTATAGAGTTAAGTCATCTGAGCCGAGTCTCCGCAGCCCTGCAGACCCCACACTAACCCTCTCCCGCCTCTCTGGAAATCAGTACATCACTTCTAGATGTACATGCTGAATTCTGCAGGCGGAAGTTCTCTCCCTCCACAAATACAGAATTCTTACCCTGGGCGCAAGCACTAGGCTGGACTAGGGATACACGGGGGGACTTGACACAGACCAGGGCTGGGAAGCCCCTGCCTGGGTTCCTGCCCGAAGACTGTGTTAAGAAGCTCTATACCCAAATATGTAACTTTTAATTATATAGCGCTGATTTAAGAGCACTGCAGGTGACCTCTAAAATCTGGACGTTAACACAAACTTAGTTAACATTCTTGTTGACACACTCAAAGTTAAACACCAAAACAGACCAAAATAAAAACTGGCTGCAGACGAAACGTTTAGGAATGAAGTTCCATCTCAATTATTTTCAGACTTCAGCATTTTTGATTACCCACCTTTTCTCTCGGTTCTATTAACCCTGAGCAAAGGTAAGTGTTCGGCACGATCTTAAGCGCTAAATCAGAGCCGGTGTGTAATTCACAAAAGGCTTATTATGCTCCTCAGTATTCCTACCTTCCTATTCACTCACATCAAGAGCTCTAGGACAAACTCCGGGGAACACAATTCACATTAAACTTGTGGGGGACTTCCTTGCCGTTTTCACAGCGCTGATTTCTTGAACTATCTCCCAAAAGATCAAACTGTTAAAGGCCTATTCGAAGTTACTTTGTATTGTTTTAAGTCAAATCACACAGGGCAATTTATGCCTCCGGTTTCCCCCAACCTTTCAAAAATGACAAGCAAAATCCTTCTAAGTTCCTCAATCAAAATTTCTGGTTTTCTCTGACTTTCAACGAATAGCACGTGTCACAATCTTATTTCTATCTTGCCGTTTTCACCAAAACCTCTTTCAACCTCGAGCCTAGGAGAGACCCGGGGAAGAATAAACGATCCGCGCGTCAGCGCGTCATCACAATGTTCAAGATTTAGGAACTTCCCCGGCCCCCCGGAAGCAAGCGCTGAGTCGGGGAAAGAAAGCCCTGTCCAGCGAGTCTCTAAGTCGCCAACACGACGAGGTTGAAACCATCGGCCCCCCGAGATGAAACACAGTCACACCTCTCTCTCCACACCCACTTCAACCCCGACACACGCTCTTCTGGCTAGAGCCAGAGCACAATGTTGTTCTTTTCACCCAGAATCTGGAGGGGTCGCAGTTGGGAAGGATCGGGAGAAAAGGTCAGAGCCCAGCGGGGCTCGGAGAGCGGGGAGTTGTCCAGGAACCCCCTGGTCTGGCCGCCTGGGGTCTCCTGCTGGGAGGCGGCCCCTCCAGGACACTCCCCCGTCCAGAATGAGAGATTTCAGTTGGGCGAAGGCGCCCGGGATGCAGGAGGAGGCAAAGAGGCAGCCAACGAGACTGGGGCTCAGAAACGAGCGGGAAAGGGCGGGAAGGGGCAAAGGGCGGCCGAGGAGAGTGAAAAGGGGAAGCTACGGCCCGGCGGGAGAAGGCGGAGGAGCAAGACCGGGCAGGAGCAACGAGAGAACAGGAAGGCGGGAAGGGGCGATAGAGCGGAGCTGGGCAGGGCCAGGCCGCAGCAGCCGAGGAGGTGGCGAAGAGGCCCAAGTCCGGCCCGGCCCCGCCGTCAGTGCCCGCCCGGGCGCGACCCGACAGGAGGCGGACGGGCCCGAGGAAATCGCCCGCGGCCAGGCTGGGCCAGGGGGCCGAGGGGCGGTGCCGCGACCCCTCCCTGTCGGGACTCTCACCTTCTCGCACTCTGGTTACCCAGTCCCGTCGGTTCAGCTAGTCTGTCCCGGATCACGGAGCCTGACTGACCCGGATCCAAACCCGCGGAGGGGGCGGCCCGCGCCTCCGAGTCGCACTGCGCCTGCGTCACTCGGGCACGCGCCCCGCCCTCTATTTATGCTCCTCCCGCCTCCGTGACTCGGCAGCGCTGCAGGCGGCGACTGCGCAGGTGCGGAGCGGCGGCCGCGCCTCTCAGACGCCTCGCACCGGCCCTCTCGGAAGCACGTGCGCCTGCGTCATTTCCTGTTATTCTCTTTGCTCCCTCCTCCGTGCGCAGTGGGTTCGCTCAGGACCGGCTCGCGGGGCGCGTCTACTTCCTCCTCCCTCGGGCGCGTGAGTAGGCGCTGCTCTTCACAGTCGCGAAGGAGCCTCCACTTCGCGAGGCGCACTGTGCTTGGAGCTCTAGCTGAGCCACCAAGGCAACGGAATTCCTTGGGGGTGAGGCCAGGGTGGGCGTCTTCACGGCTCCGGAGCCCCTCTGAGCGCCTAGCCCGTCCCCTGGGTGTTAGAATCAGGACCGCCTGCAACGTCTCCAGGAGTCGGGGACACCACACCTCCTGGGGGTCTTTCAGGGCCTGCGGAGAAGCCAGGCGGTACCAGACCGGGGCCAAGGCCAGGAATGGAGGCCGGAATTGCCACTGAAAAGCCTTGGCTTTAGTGCCCCTGTTGTTTGACTGGAGCGACCGCTTTCACCTCCGCCTCAGTTTCTCCATCTGTTAAGTGAAGAATCTTAACAGCCAGTGTCGTTTTTCTCAGGCATGGACTCCTTTAAGAACCTGGTGAGAAATAATAGACCCTTTCGAAGAGAAATGCACTAAATGTTTAGCAACGTTTTAGACAGTCCACCCAAGTAGGTGATTTTTTAGGGATTTTTCCACTTTTATGATTCTGATGGTTGCCCTGATGGCAGGCGGGGAAGGGGTGAGCTGGGCAACAGCTGGCGGCCCCTCCATCACTGGGACTGATTCGGCTGATCTGGTTGTGCCTCCTCCCCTCACTCAACAGCTCCATGTCTCCGCTTCTCTGAGCTTCGTGGGAGAGAATGGCTTTCCTCGACAGACTTGGGTAGAGTTGGTTTCGGCTCAGCCTCAGGTGGGAGTTGTTGCCTGAACCCCAACTGGACCCTCCCACCTCCATTCCCCAGTACTTAGATGCCGTCACCTAACTGGACAGACCTTGGAGCGCCCGACCCCCGTCAGGGAGTGGAATCTACAGGATATTGTATAAGGTGGTCACACACAAAGCATGTCATGCGGCCTCGGTGAAACGTTTAGAAGTCTCCTGTTCACACCAGAGGCCCCACTGATAGGGCACGAAAGAATAGCTACCTGTTCATGGTAAAGTTCCAACGTAAAACCTAACGACGATAATAATAATGGCGGCCCTCGGCTGTGCAGCAGCTATGTACACGTTCTCTCATTTACTGTCCTGCGGTTTTACACCTGTTACAGCTGAGGATGACTGGGACGCCCAGAGGTTAGGGAACTTGTTCTTGCTCCCCTTGGCGTGTGTCACATAGTGCTAGTAAGTGACTGGGATTTCATCTCTTGAACGCCAATCTCTCAACATCTCTTAGAAAAGAGTAGAAAAGGAAAATAGACATTTTTCCCCCTCAGGAGTTGCCAAGTGACCTGCATCAAGATGAAATATGTGTATTAAATTATCATTTCAAAATATTTCTTCAGATAAAACACATCCTTGAGGGCAAAGACTGTGTCTAGATCAGTGGTTCTCAACCTTCCTAATGCCTCGACCCTTTAATACAGTTCCTCATGTTGTGGTAACCCCCAATTTCATTGTTACAAATTGAACATAATTAAAGCATAGTGATTAATCACAAAAACAATATGTAATTATATATGTGTTTTCCGATGGTCTTAGGTGACCCCTGTGAAAGGGTTGTTCGACCCCCAAAGGGGTCGCGACCCACAGGTTGAGAACCGCTGGTCTAGATTACTGAATTCCTGGAGGTTAGTAAGTGCTAAATGTAATTTTGGTGAATTCTTCAGTTCACCTTAACTTCTACCCATTATGGTATCAAATACTAAAGCCCCAAATGTTTTAAAGTGCTTCATATAAGCATATCTCCATGAAGTTAGATGTTTTTTGAGAATGTGGTTTATTACTCGGAGTATTTGGAAGGCAGGATCCCTCTTGAGGTCAGTAGGTGGCACCATTCACTCAAGCGGGAAATCCAGGAAGCCAGCCGGTTTGGGCAGAGTTCAGTTTTGGACACGAGGAATTTGAAGTGCAAATGAAAGTAGGAATCAGGTTAGGAAGGGTCTTAAAGGCTACGCCAAGGGATTTATTCTAAGAACCATGGAAGCTGTGGATGAGAAGAGGAAGGACCGTGTTATTTTAGAAAGATTACTCTGGTTTCCACTTGGATGGCACAGTGATCCAGGCCTGAGATGGCAGTGCTCTCAAGAGCAGGTGGCGGTGGGAATGGAGAACAAGTGAATCGATTGAAACTTGTATAGATCAGGCTTTGGTGAGAGATTGTGTGCAGAAGGAGCAGTGGGAGAAAGTGGGCTGACAATTTGCTTTCTAGTTTGAGCAACTGAATGGGTATTGTTGCCTATTTCTCATGTAACTACTGAACCTAGCTGACAGGGAACAGATGAAAAACAACATATAATTTTTATATATAATTTTATATACAATTTTTATATTAAATTTATATATAAATTTTTCATTGATTTCAGAGAGAGGAAGGGAGAGGGAGAGAGAAAGATAGAAACATCAATGATGAGAGAGAAATCAATGATGAGGAAGAATCATTAATCAGCTGCTTCCTGCTTGCCCCCTACTGGGGATCTAACTGGAAACCCAGGCATGTGCTCTAACCCGGAATCAAACCATGACCTCCTGGTTCATAGGTTGATGCTCAACCATTGAGCAACACTGGCTGGGCAGAACAGCATTAAAATGGAAAATAATAGTGAAAGATAGTACTTTTATAGCTCATACTGTGTGTCAGAGATGTCATTCTAATCTTCACAACAATCCTATGAGATTACTAGTACAATTATCTTCCAAATGAGGAAACTGAAGCAAAGTAACTTGCCTGAGATTACACAGCTAGTAAGTGGTGGAGCTAGAATTGGAACCGAGGCAGTCCTGCATGGCTCATACCAGGAATGAGCCCACAACCCAGGCATGTGCCCTGACCTGGAATTGAACTGGTGACCTCTTGGTGCATGGATAGATGCTCAACCACTGAGCCATACGTGTGTCCAGGTGCCCATACATTTCTTGTGTCTCCAGTTGGATCCTAAGCTTCTGGAGGGCAAGAATTATCTGTTACATTTTTCTCAACTTTCCCTCCCTCAGTTCCTATTCTCTCGGTGTAGGTTAAATGCCCCCACACTGTGTGCATCCATAGTACTTCACACTTCCTCCATCATCTCAGGAGCTGCATCTTGTGTCCCTGGTACCTGGCACAGGGTTTGCCACCATATGTATTGAATGAGTGAGTGAGTCCATCAGTATGTCAGTCATCTCAGCAAATACTACAGTTGCCTGTTGGCTTTTTAGAACCATAACTGGGATCTCGACTCCTTTGACAGTGATTTTAGCAGCAGGGCCTTTTACTATAACATTCTCTTTTTTTGGGGGGGGCGGGGAGGGGACAAATTGGTGAAAGTTGGGGAAGAGATTAACTGCACTTAACTGGCATTCTCTACATAGCCCCAAAGCTGTCTGCTATTTGATACTTGTCTTTCTGAAATGTTGGGTCACAGAGTGGGGAATGAATGAGGACTTTGGAATGCTTGACAAATGACTTGGCCACATCCCTCTGCACTGGTTTGGATTAAGTCTGCAGCAACTTCAGTCCTAGTCTCAGCGCTACAGGAGGAATGGGAGGCTTTTCTTGATAGTTACTGATCACTTGCAGAGGGAGCCCAGGATTACAGATTCTCTTTCCTTCATTGTGATAAGGCCCTTGACAGTGAGTCTTCAAAACTTAAAGACCTAGGGTCTTGCCTTCTCTCAAATGTTCATTCATTTGAACTTTAATCTGTATGATGACATCAGGAAGGTGTTAAGGCCAAAATATAGAATCTATCAGTAAAGCTACAGAAGAAAATGGGTAAATGGTAAGGACTGGAAGGGAGTATTGAGCAGGGCTTCAGGGGTGCCGGTAACATTCTCTTTCTTGATCTGATGTTGCTCATAGTGTGTTCAGTTCACAAGCTGTACACATCGAATATGCACCTTTTTCTGTGTGTATGTTAAATGTCAATTAAAAGTGAAAAGCTTTAAACAAGTATTTGTGTGTATGCCACAGATATGTTTATTAGATTAGGGTGAGCTGTTCTTTTACCCCTTTAGTTCTTGACCTAAACTCCAGGTTAAGAACCACTGAGCCACTCTGGCCAGGAAAAATTAACTGATGTTTATAAGTCTTTTATAATTTATAAAATGCATTCACACACATGATTGCTTTGACCCTTAAAACAACTCAGAGTTTATTATGTTTATCTCTATTTTATAGCTGAAGCCCAGAGAGGTGAAGCCACTTCCTGAACTGAGGAGTGACAGAGTCAGATCTCAAATCCCTGCTCTTCCCAAAGCATGATGCCTTCAGCAAAGGAGAGCCAGAAGGATGAGAATTATTTTGGAAGATGAATACCAGCTTTGGTTGAAGGAATAAGAACCAAAGAGAAGTTAAAGGAGTTGGAACCACAGGTAGGAGTGATTCAGCAGGGCAAGCATGTTAGGCCCATGGTTATAAGAGCCTGTGTGTCTGGACCTGCTCCTGTTACTTTGGGGTGCTCCTGTTACTGTGTGGCTGGCCTCCCACTTGCTTTTTCCTGGGCCGCCCACTCTGCTGGTTGGCCCTTGGACAAGTCACTGCACTCTCTGAGTCTCAGTTTCCTCATTTGCAAGATGGAAATAACTACCCCTCTCTGCCAACTTAGGAGAATTGCTTTGAGGATCTGATGAGGTGGTGCATATGAAGCTGCCTTGAGAACTTTAAAGTGTGCAGCATGAGGAACCCCTGAAGCCAAGTTTACTTATCCCAAGAGAGGGAAGGCAGGACTCTAATGAGGGCTTCTTTCCTTTTCTCTTTTTTTTTCTTTTCTACTACGTATTTTTATCTATATTATTTTACAATGTCCTTGTAAAATGATACAAGTGATGCTGAAATATTTAAGGTAGAAATGGAAAATTCCATATGCTACCTGCCTGTAGCCCTCCATCCTGCTGCACAGATAGATCACCAGTGTTTGTGGATTAGTACACCTCCTGCCAGGCTTTAAAAAAATATTACACACACACACACCGCCCTGGCTGGATGGCTCAGTTGGCTGGAGAGTCGTCCCATACACTAAAAAGGTTGTGGGTTCGATTCCCGGTCAGGGCACATACCTAGGTTGAAGGTTTGATCCCCAGTCAGGGCACATGCAGGAGGCAACTGATTGATGTTTCTCTCTCTCAAAATAAAAAAATCAATAAAAACATCCTCAGGTGAGTATTTAAAAAAATATATGTGTATAAGTATCTACATACATATTTTTCAATACACATGCACTTGCTCATACAACTTTATTCTTTAGATTTCACAAAAATGAAATTGTTCAGCACCTTTCCTCCCCTTCCCCTCCACCCTTAACAGTTTTATCTTGAAGAGCTCTCTACATCAGAGCTATTTAATTTTTTCTATATCTGAGCATTTATATAGTCTAGGAACAGATGTCATTTGGATCATTACTAATTTTCTTAAACGTTATCAATGACGCATGAAAATGCTTGTCAAACAAGTTTCTACTTCTATAAATGTATTTTGAAGTAAAGTTGCTGGTGACACAAATTTTAATATTTAATAGATATATCAAATGCCAGATTCCACTCACACCAGTGGTGTTTGGGGTAGACATTTGACAGTGTCTAGGGATATATTTACTTGCCACTAAACATCTTAAAGTAAGAAAGTCCCCTCAAAACAAAAAATTGTGTTAGTAATGCTGGAGTTGGCAAACCCTGGCCCACACCTTGCCAGTGCTGGATATTGCCATTCTTTTTAAACTTGTCAATCTGGTCATTTGAAAAATGATACCTTATTTTACTTTGTACCTCTTCTGGAGAATAGACTTACTTTTACTTCTTACTTTATATATTATTTACATTTGCTATAATGAACATGTATTTTTGTTTTGTTTTTGAAAAACCATTAAAGATTTTTTAAAAATCTATGCCTTTGATTATCACTATGCAGTCTGTTCTTAAGATTTAATTATGTACATGCCTGCTGGTTTTTCCCTGATAAGGTATAGAAAATAATCCTCAATATAGACCTTAAGAAGTCATCAGTACTTCAGGTTTAAGTCTCCATCCTCTGGCCTTCAGAATTGCTCTATTGCCCTTACAAAGCACGTTCTCCCAGTGGATACCAAGACCCAGGAGCCACCTCCAAGAATCATCATCACAGCCCAGAGATACTCCTGACCACAGACCACAGCTCCAGAAAAAATGTTCTTGCACTGGCCTACAACACCCACCATGGACTCATCTCCCAAACACCAAAAAGAAATCCTCATTCTCATTTCTCTCTGTGAAACCTGTGGTCTATTTACCCTGTGAATTTCCCAGGCTGGCACAGCTGAGCCAAGCCTCGGGGGCTTCTGTGGAGCCCAGAGCTGCTGGCATAGGCTCAGGTGCAGCATGAATATGTTCTAACACCCTCCAATATGTCCTGTCAAATGGAAAAAAGGTGGAGCCCAGTCCTGAGCCCTGCCCAACATGGCAAGGACTCCTGGAGAAGTGCCCCCCTCCTTTCATTTAGCTCAGAGCAAGCTGGAGCCAGCCTGGAGGAAGTGTCCGTGGAGGACCTGTCAGTAATAACTGGATACTCCCAAGAAAATGTCCCATGTGGCCAAAATGGCCTGGGTTTACCTGCAGCCTTTGCAGATCACCCAGTAGCAGATTCGCAAGTGGGCATACAGCTCCTGCCCTGGTCCCAGGAACAGGACTTTTGCCAGCAGTTCTTTGCATTGGATCTGTGCTACGGTTTTCCAGTAAGCAAAGGCATATGTGGAGGCTGCCTGCCTGGTCTAGTGGATCTCCACTCTCTAGAATGCACACGAATCATGGCAGTGGAATGGAGTGTACAATCTGTGAGGCCATGAATGGCTGAGATAACCCCTGCACTGCTGACTTAGTGAAAGAGAAAGCAGTAAGGGGTTCACAGTGGGAAGGGAAGGGAGTGATAGAAGGAAAGAACACCAGTCTGCAAGTCAGGGCCTGAGTTCTGCTCCTGCCTGGCTGTGTACCCTGAGACAGATAAATCACTTTACTACTTTGGGCCTCAACTTCCTTGCTAACTGGTAATTGGAAACATTCCCTCTGTTTTTCAACTTGCGTGTTTCTCAAAAATATTCCCAATTATATAAAGCTGGCTACAATGGTTTAGAGATTTAAAATAGCGTTTAGAAACAATCCACTTCCTATTGGTTAGTTTTTCCTACTTAAAAGTAATAGATGCTCAGAACAGGAGGAAAAGTCAGATGATACAGCCAAACAAAAAGTAATTCATAGAGAATACCCATAATTCCACCCACTCAGAAACCATACTGTTGATGTCTTAGTGGGATCTGTTCAGATAAGTGGTTCTTAATTGGTGGATGGGTGGACTTTGGTGGGAGAGAGCTCCTGGATTATTTAACAAACCCCTTTTCATTGGCCATTTGAGATACTTTAGTTGTTTTGCCATTACAAAAAAAATGCAAATATAAGCTGGATGAAAAGGAATTAGAACTTGAGAAAACAAGAAGAAAATGGGTAGTATGAACACCTGACAGAAATACTATAAAGAGCACAAAAAGATGCCTAATTATCCTATAGTGCATAAAAATTACCAGTGAGAGACAAACAAGGGCTTAATGGGCATTTCAGCTGTTTAAGTAAACATATTTACTGGGCAGGTGCTATAGTATGCTAGACCGTATAATATGAACTCCACAGGTAGTTCAGCCACTGACCTCACTGTGCTTTTAAACTAGTAGAGACCAACACAGAAATTGTGCATGAACAATAGTTTGTGTCTAACCAAACTGCCTTCATGACTGATTGGCACAGTAAACTGTAACCTCCCTCCCCCTAACTTCCTCTGATTGGCCCCAGAAATTCATAAAGCAAGTCTGTCTGCCTGTTCAAACTACAGATCTTTACATCTTCAGGTAAAGCACCCAGTCGTCTGTGCTGTCCTTCCCTGGCAGGAAGGGCCTGCAAGCTCCCTGTTGATTCATCACACTGTGCACGTGCCCAGACCTTCCAACAAAGTATCCGTGAACAGATGGCCACAGCATGGGGACAGTGAGGCCCAAACCTTTGAGGACAGACTATGCTGGTAACACTTGAAAGGATTCTACAGCTTCAGGAGGTGGGTGGGGAGGGAGAACAGATGAGCCAGCCCTGATTGGAGGACCTGGTCTGCTGTTCTCCCAGAGAGCCTGTGTGCCTTAGATCAACACCTCATACTAAGCTGTGTGCTGATCTTCAGGGGTCTTGTTGGACTGTGGATTCTGATTCAGCAGGTCTAGGGTAGGGACTGAGATTCTGCATTTCTTACCAGTTCCTAGTGATGTGCTGATACTTTATTTATTTATTTATTTATTTCTCACCCGAGGACATTCTTTCCATTGATTTTCAGAGTGGAAGGGAAGGAGGGAGGAGGAGGAGGGAGAAAAACATTGATATGACAGACACATCGATTGGTTGCCTTCTGCATGCACCCCTGGGGCACGAACCTGCAACTGAGATTTGTGCCCTTGACCAGGAATTGAACCATTGACCTTCGGTCCAAGGGCAAACACTCTAACCATTGAGCAAAACTGGCCAGGGCAGTGTGCTGATACTTCAGACCACACTTGGAGTAGCAGAGCCTTAGGGATTGGTATCACAATTCCTTGGGATGCTTTAAAAATACGGAAAGTTAGATTTATCCAGACTGATAAATGGATCTATCTGATCCATTTCTTCAATAAGGTCTCCATCCAGACTGCACATTAGAATCTTTTGAAGAGGTTTTTTTTTTTTACTGCTAATTCCCACTCATGTATCTCTCTCTATATATATTTCTCTCACTCCCCTTGATCCCCCTCTATCCCCCTCTTCCTCTCTGTCTCGCTCTTTCTCTCTAGTTGCTTTAGTTGAAAAGCTCTTTCCGGTGGCTCTCACAACCATCCAGTGTGGTGTGGGAGCAGAGGCAGTGGTTCTGAGTCCGGGCTGCACATCACAGTCACCTGTCACCTGGAAGTTTTACAAAATGTCAGTGTCAGCATTTCTAGGGTTGGGACCAAGAGATTAGCATTCACAAAGCTCCCCAGATGAGTCTAAGCTGTAGCCCCTGGTGTAGAGCCTGCTATAAGAATCATCTGGGATTCTTGATGGAAATACAGGTTACCATAGTCTTCCTTGACTCAGATTCAAGGTCTGGGGCAAGGTTCAGGAATCTGTATGTGCAACAAGTGATGTAGCTGATTCTTATGAGATGGCAAGTTTGGGAAACACTGAGATAGAGAAAATGTCCCTGGATTGGTCTTAGAAAGACAGCGCTCCTGACTGCATAACTTCTCATAGCTCACTTAGCCTCTCTGAGATTTGTTTCTTCATCTGCAAAATGGAGATGATAATAACTACATGAGGAAGAGATGGGTAACCATCCCCCAGATATCTGTGTCCCCAGT